GGGGGTGGGAAAAACCCCAGGGGTGTTTAAGGGTTTGTTCTCCGAAAAACCCTTGAGTTTTTTTGGGCTTTTTTTTTTTTTTTTTTTTTTTTTCAAATTATTTCTGAAAATGACTTCATGCAATAGTGTTGCCTTGGAATGTTTTCTGACTCTGTAGGAGTTCTTGCTAATGCAGCTTCACATTGTGCATCACTGTCTTTTTATGGCAGTACCGCACTTTTAGGTTACTCAGTTCCTTTATAGGACATACTATCATTTAGATTTAACTCTTAATGTACGAGAACACATTTTCCCCAGCTGTTCTTGCCAAACTATAGGGTTAAACAAAAAATATATATATGCTTCTTTTTTCTCACTTTCTGTGTCGGCTAAGATATACACAGACTCGTCAACGCAACCCACTGATAACCCGACTAGTGTATCAGGATTCAACACCAAAAAATACACAGGTCTTTTATGACCTGAAAAGACTATTCTGGTTAATCATGCTACATTTTTGGCAACTTCAAGCTAAATGTTTTGTGAGGCCGGCTTAAAGAATCATCTGCAATCAGACACAATTCTATAACTAGCTGTAGTTGCAGAAAGTCCTGGTGCTGCTATGGTGTGTTTCAACAGAATTTTCCCAATGAGTGGTCTAAACTATGTTTTCCAACCGGTGTGATTATGCCCCTTTTTTTTTTTTTTTTTGCCATGAGAATCCTATTTTCCATGTGCGAAGAGGTGTGTGTACCTGTTCCCAGTCCCCATGATGAGTCCCACTTCAGCAATTATGCATTGAACATGAAAAATCAACATCTCAAAGCTTCTTTTATTCTCTCCTCTGGTGGCTCCAGTACTGAGTAATTTTCCCCATGTTGCTGTCTGTCCTTTCAGCGATGGAGGAGCTTGATGGAGACGAGGTGAGAGTATCCTCCAGAGGACGTCTTGCTGAGAGAGACATTGTTCAGGTACTCCTCATGATTATATTTAAATTTGCAGGTTTGTCACAACTGCTTTTCGGCGAAAAGAAAAACCACAGGGGGTACAAGGCCCCGAAGAGAGTGGGTCACATTTACATCAGGCATTCAAACACACAATAATATGACAACTGAGAGAAAATAAACAGGCCTACATTAATGTTTAGTTACATTGTTGAATACGGTTACTGCAGTCTTACTTTTTTTTTCAGAGTTGGAAAACCGATGTCTCAAAAGGATTCAGTAGGGTCCTTTAATCGTGTCTTTTTAACTTGTTCAGTAGTTTAAACCCAAATGTATTACATTGTTAAGTTCACAGGATTGTCTGACAATTTCACATTCAATTCATAAGATGAGGCAATAAAACACAATAATGGGTTCACAAAAACTAGAAATTTTTCATAGAGTGAGACAAACAGATACAGCTTTTGGTAAAAGTAAGAATCCCCATTTTTGTTTTTACAATAAAGATTTTAAAAGTTAAACTGTTTTTTACAGAACCTAGTAGTAGTGCAGCTACATTAGTCTAGGTTTGAACAGAGTGTGATGTCAAATGCCAGGGGTGAATTGAACACATCATGGAATAATGATAATCTTATCCAATCTCTAATCTCACCAGTGATGTTTGGTGAAATCTGGGGTCAGGTGATTAGCTACACATGGAACATTCAAAAACATAAAAAATTATACTGTCAGACTTTACCACAAACCAGACACATTCCTGTTTGCTAAAAAACAACATGCACTCATAAATTGCCTCAACTTTATAATACAAATAAATATGAATTTATTTGTATTACTGTATACCGTTAAAATTTCTAGCATCAAACCCAGATTCACGCCTCCCAAAACAAATTGGGCTTTCAAGGCAGACCAAGTAAAGTTAGATGAAATGGAAGTAAACAGGAATAGAGGAAGAGAAAGAAAACAAACACAGGGATGGATGAGAGGGATGGAGGCTGCTGAGCTCCATTTAAACCAACAAGACCTCTTCCTCTTAACTGACTCCAGCTACACATTCTGTGCTCTGATTGGCTAGAGAATCCCACACTTGAAACGATAACTAAAATATTTTAAAGTTCATTCAGGGTTCAAGCATGTCAATTGCTTTTCCGATAAACAATTGGCATTCTTTCTACCAAGAATCCCTTCTTGGTAGAAAGTTACTCAGTGCAGAGATATCAGTGGAGCCTGGCTGCCCTTTAGTACACACATACTTTCATTGGTTTAATGTCTTAATTTTGTTAAATTATGAGTTAGCAGAACACCACAGACATAGCGCTCATTAAGTAACATCCTGAAGCGCTAAGCCAGACCTTGGGTGTACTGTGAAGCAGACCTCCAATCAGAATGTGTGGAGTATGTTGTAGGCATAATCTCTGTATTGCTAATTGGGAAAATGGGATGTATAATATCCACTCGACATTTTTAAATTGGATCATTTTCAGTGTTTTGAAAATAATGAAAGGAACAGTAAATATGAGTAATTATGAATCTTCGGTTGCAGCCTCATGAGTCAAGGATGTGCCTTGTGAGCACAGATGGACAAATAGAGCTTTATTAGTAACTACTGTCTACAAGGCTCTGCAGACCAATAGAGGCCAACAGAGGTTAAGATTTATCACACTGGATAAAACCCAGATAGTAAAAATACTGGGAGACACACACTTAAAAACTATTAAGCTCTTTACTGAGCAAAAACAACAAAAACACAAATGTGAAGGGAACTTGAATAAATTAGGGATGCACAATATATCGGCATTAACATTGGTTTATTTTTATATTAGTCTTTTTTAACACATTGGTTTGATAAATTAAACTGAGCTGATATTAAATACCAATATATATTCCACAATGTTGGCGTTTGTTTCTGGAGGGGAGACGGTTGGTCATATGGTGTTTGGTCAGTCATGTGAAGAACCAAACTGAAACAATACAAACAGGCAGCTGTGTGGTCACTTTTTTCAAGGTCTCAAAAGGTTAGTGAAATGTGTTGCTTAAATACATTATCAGTAATTATATGTTATCGGCCATAACAGCAACATTTATGTCAGATATCACTAGAATAAATGCTGAAATCAAAACCAGCAGTTACTTAGGTTTCAAAATGGTAAACTTTTTGGTTTCAACCATTTTGTTCTTGGTTTCAACCAATAAGCTAAATTTGGGAAAGAAGCACAAATTCCCCCCAAAAACGATGCATATTTACTCTAAACAAGCTCAATTCAAACACAACATTTACCATTTTAAAACCTCAGACACTGTTTTTTAATGCATGGAGCATTTTCTTCATAACTTTAGCTAGGATATTAAACAAAAAAGGAACATCACTATTTTCTCTGAAATTTATGGTTTTTATTTATATTTTTCTGTTTCTACTCTGGTGACTTGTTCCTGATTTTGTCGTAATGCAGCAAATTTATTTGTGTTTTTTAGACATCTGAAATGAATTAATTTAGTAAATAGTTATTATTAAATATTTTTATATAGCCTATATAAATAAGTCATGTCACAAAACACAAGTATATAATTTAAAGGTAAAATCAATGCCTATTCCATTCCAACCTGAGATCCACATAGAAAATCCATATTATATCCTTTGAGATCTCATGACATAAAGGGCAATATAATAATAATATAACTGTAGTTTAATAAATGATGTCTGTGTTTTCCAACTAAAGTGTGTGTGATTTTTTTTTATGAGCTATAGGGATTTCGACAGCATTTTAAAAATTCCTTTTTCTGTATCATGTCCAACTCCATATTTAGTTTTGGATTCCTTCTCCTTTACAGCATGCATTAAGCATAACACTGTCCTGATAAACACTTGAAAGTACATTTATCTGCCAAAAATAGTGATCCTTTACAGGGAACTATAAAGGAAGTGGCTAAAAAGCATGTGAAGAAGAGTCCTCAGTACATTTCCCCCTCAAAGACATTCACCCATTCATCCATTACCAGCTCTAAAATTGCCCATATTCTTTTTGGAAAAAGAAAACTTGTTCTGCTGCATGTTTTATTGTGAGCAGGCGATAAAACTACATCTGCCAGCAGTTGTCTTGGAGAACCTTCCAGAGATATGAGGAACCAGATGCAGCGTAACTTGTGCTAACAATGTGCTATTAAGTATTCAGATGGCAGCGGTGAGGACCGTTCTGTCGGCCTGCAGAGAATGTGATACGATGATAAATGAGTGTTTGTGATGATGAATGTGCAGCGTCCAGATTCAGAGAGCAAGAATGTTAGGATTTCATATCATAAACTACCAGTTGGTAGAATCTACTTTGACGTCTTTGCTTCATATTTTGTCAATGTCTGTTCATTTCTACACATTAAACACCTTTAAGTTAGTAGAATTATTCACTAGTAACTAATAAAATGCTTTTTTCTCTATGTTGCTTTTACAGTGTATCTCTTATTGTTATTGACTTGGTGATTAAAGCGTTCTTCCAGCAGTGCTAATGATCACATTTAATCACGCAGTTGCTTTTAACCTTGTAGCAGTGGTTTAACAGGGATATTTAGATTAACAGCAAAAGAAGGAAGTTCAATCACTTCACACTATTTTGCATTTAATTGTTTCATTATTTTCCTTTGGTGACTGCTTTGCTCTAACACTGATTCTCAACTAAAATGTTTGGCAGGATGATTGATCTATAACATTTCAGTTCTTTTTGTCAGCGTTTTTTCCTCCATATTTAACAATGACTTTAGAATCTGTGGATTGTACCCTAAAATGTATGAGTGTATGTATAAATACGTAAGTAGCCAATCCAGGAGCAGCATTTGTTTTCCTTGGTTTTGATTGGCTGAACCCCCAAGAGCAGAGATAAGGAAGACAGTTGATGCTAGGTTCTGCTGAGACGGTTTCCACCGCATACTAAAGCAGATTAAAGTATTTTTTGGTCTTTTAACTACTACAATAGGCAGTTATGAGCATTTTAGAGGTGGTTTAAGTAGTCATGCATTTCAGCTATTCAGTTTTAGTTGTCTGATATTAGCTATTTAGTTTTGTCAGTTCCAGATAATTATTAAAATCAGCAATGTCTCAGGAAGCAGCAGTACATATATTTTACATTTTATCAGCCAATGAGGAAAAAAATAAATGTTTTATTTCTAAAGAAATGTTATCAAATGTCTCAGATTTACCTAAACCTACAGAATTAGAAATGTACTACAAAAAAAATCAATATCTCTGCTTGATGCTTTAGTAGCTTTGACAAACTCCTAACACACAAGCAAATCACTGGAAACACTGCAGGTGGTTGATTTGAATCATGAATAAAGACGGTGGCAAAAACACAGCACTGAAAGTTTCAAAAGTCTACAATGGTTAACAGGCATAGCTAATGTTCTTGGTACTAACTACTGAATGTGAGTCATTCAGGCTGGTTGAGGGATTTTTGTTTTTTGTGGTGGAACATTTGAGTTTTTATTCAGGTACAAGAAAAAAGAGAATTTAAAACATTGCAGAGAAGATATTGAAAAACTGTTAATGATTATTTTTACTCTGTAAGTTGTCATTATAGTGGTAGCATTATGTATTTTCCAGGCATATAGTGGTATTTTATAACACAATCAAGTAACTATGTTACCTTCAGTTGTTTTAAACATGTACATATCAAATATGACATAAAAGAGATTTGACTTTGGAATTTAATGCCTTGGAATTGGACTTCTGTCTCTTTAAGAAACTCCTGCTCTTTCAGACACTCCGCCTTCAGCATGTCATCACAATATGATCCTTATGATGACGTTTAGTGTTTTTAGGAGTGTTGCATGGAGTAGGAGTTCATAAAACAAGCTTAGAAAACACACTGTTCCACCAGGTGTTTGCTAATTGCTGCTGTGACTAGTCTGGAGGAGCTGAGTGGGGGAGTGGCAGGTTAGGGATGCTTGTAATGTGGAAGCTCAGCTTGGAGACTGGAGTAGGTATCTTTGATTAGAAAAAAAAAAGTTTTTTTATATATGTTAAAACTATCATTCTGTCG